AATGTTGACACCAGCGGTGAGCTACACTGCCTGCCTGTCCTGAGAGACGTTACCTGATATTAACTAAAGTGCCGCTGACATTCCTGATCTTCATCGGAAGAGCTGACCCAGTTCCCAAGAAAACCACCTCTGGGTATTTTCCTCCTTGACCTGCAACAAAAAAAACAAAAACACACACACAAGAAGAGAGAGCGACAAAAAAAAACACATTACTAATGCAACTGAGAGAAAGAAGCACACCGGTGGAATACTTCAGGATCTAAAAAAGGTGTTGGATGATCAGACGTTGCTTTTAAGTAAATGAGACAGGTATGGCATCAGAATGCTCGCCTATCACTGGCTAATTCAATATTTGGATGACAGGTATCAGTATGCACATATAAATAATACAGATTCTGGTTTATTAAAAGGTAACTTGTGGGGTGCCACAGGGTTCACTTCTTGGACCACTATTGTTTACATTACATAAGTCAATGGAGTGCATTTATCCAAAGCAGTGTTTGGATACTCTGGAAAGTAAACTACTGACTGGTTTGAGTCTAACAAATGATCTCCTCACCTTGGAAAAACTAAATGTATTAAAATCGGAAAACCGCTCATTAAATAACCAAAGAAAAAGTTACGTTAAAGCTGCCATAATCCTTCAAGCAAAATGTTTTCCGGTTAGTGTTAATAACAAATTAACCTGGAAATTAAATACAAAGTATCAAACAAAAGGTCTAAACTGCAACATTGTTTTAATTTGAAGACTTCTTATGACAAAAATCACTAAGCATTTTATATTATTGACTTGCTGCTCCACGTATGACTGTATAGAGCTGTGAGGAAACACAAGCCAAACATGAACTCGATCTTTTTACTCTCAAAACGTAAAACTAAATATGAATGATAACAAAGAAAACCTACTGAGAGTCAACAAATCCATCATTTATTGGATTAAACTCACTGAAATCCAAACATAATATTTATAAGCTGTTTAAAATGAGGGATAATAAAACAAAAAAATAATTCAATTAAAACTTGTTTTTAAATTACAGCATAGAGATAACATGATTACTCAGGATTGTGCTAAATGTATATGTGTGTGATGAGTTCATCTATATCCATCTTTTATTTTCTTTTGTCCCGATTTTCTATTTGAATCAGAAGCTAAAATTGCAGTCGATTTAATTTTCCTACATCCTGACTGTTGTATTACATAAGCTGTAGCTTCAAGCTACACTCTTTCAGTTGTTCATATCATTTTTTGTGATATTAATGAACTTAATAAAGATAAAGACAAAAATAGAGCACTGTAGATAGACCACGCTTGAGTGAATCCAACACTTTTTGGACGGGTGCTAGTTTCCATAACTGACCGGAAAGCTCTGCAGAGCCAGCGGAGCAAATCTTCCTGCACTCGTCCACTTCTGCCAGAAAGTTTGGGACCTCAGAAGCTTCTTTCACAAACTCCTCAGAGTTGCAGGAGGGGATGGCATCTCTAACAAATGAGACAAGAGTGAAAAAGACACACACCACTGCCTGCAAAAACACTGCTGGGGAAAAAAGCAGTGTTTTTTTTTCCTCCCCCCACATCTGACCTTGATGCGCCTCTACAGTACTTGACAGAAACAATGTAGGAAAAAAAATAATAAAACCCTGACACTTGTAAGATGAGGTTAAAAAAAGACGAGAGAAGAAAGCGGTTGAGAGGGGCTGGTCCAGCGCGGATCGTTTTCTATGACAAGCCGGCGCTCGGAGCTGCAAAGTAACGATGGCTAAATTGGAGGGATTGAAGGGCAAACTAACCTTTGCCACTCCATTACAGGTCTGAGCTGGAACTTGAGCAGACACTCCGCTCTGACGTTCGGGACGTGTAAGGCCGCCTGAGGCTCCTACAGGAAACCAAAAAATAGTTTTTTGATGTTTTCTTACATGCAGTTTGGGAGCTGCGCTTTTCTCTCTCAGTGTATACAACAACGTGCTTTCTCAGCACAGTACAAGTAGAGTTTAAATGCATGCAGGGATTCGTCTATTGTAAAAGGTGTAAGGTCAAACTTCCCCGTTTGAAAGGGAAC